AGGGGGGGTGCTGCCAAAAAAACCTCCCCTTGCTGCTCCCTGCCTGCAGCAGCCCTGAGCCAGGGGCAAGGAGACATGAAGGAAATACAGTGCTAGCCATGATTTTGCTCTGCCACTCCTGAGGTCCTGAGGGTCCTTTGCAGAGGGCATGAGACCCCTGCTACGGAGGAGTGCATTGTCTCAGGAGCCAGTGTGTTAATGCAGATTTTCCATGCAGGGCTGTGCTTGGGCTGCTTGCACAAGAGACCTGGTTTCTGCTCTCCCTACTGCCAGAAATATCCTAGATGCCTGCAGTGGAGAGCAAGCCAGGGGAGCTGTGGGCTGGTGGATGGCCAGGCAGTGGAGCAGGCAGGCAGCATGCTACGGAGGAGTGCATTGTCTCAGGAGCCAGTGTGTTAATGCAGATTTTCCATGCAGGGCTGTGCTTGGGCTGCTTGCACAAGAGACCTGGTTTCTGCTCTCCCTACTGCCAGAAATATCCTAGATGCCTGCAGTGGAGAGCAAGCCAGGGGAGCTGTGGGCTGGTGGATGGCCAGGCAGTGGAGCAGGCAGGCAGCATGCAGTGGGATCAGTTTTTGGAGGCTGACAATGTGGAGGAACCTTGTGTCAAGACTGTGCCGAGGGTCCAGCAGGCTTCCTGCAGGCACCTCTCCACCCAGGGAATGATGGACAGTGTGCCCCTATGCTTTAAGTCCATGAGTCTCCTCCTTCTTTTCTGCTGCACTCAGGATGGAGGAGTTCAGGGCGTCCCAGCCTAGGAACAGGAGGGAGGAGGCTGAGCAAGGCCAGGCACAGCAGTCATGGCTGCCCGTGGCCGACGCACCAAGGTGCTCCCTTCTGAGCTGAACAAGGTGTGCCCTGAGAGAGGAGACTCCACCATGCACCCCAGGACGATGAGTGACTTCGAGGTGGTCCCCAACCTCCAGCAGAGCAGCAGCAGCATCTCGAAGAGCAGGCGCAAGGCACATTTCCCCACTGGCAGCCACGAGAAGGCAAGTTCAGGAGGGGCTGGCAGAGGGGGAGGTTGGCCACCCGTGACAGAGGAGTGTTGATGAGTTCTCTGGTGACTCATTGATGGGAGGATTGATGACAGATCACTTTAGTCTTAGGGACAGACAGAAAAAAATCCAAACATCTGAGCTATGTGCCCAGCGTTCATATCTCCTCTCCTTGGAGTACACATGGCTTTGTCCTTGCAGACAGTGACAGAATGTTCTTCCTTCACAGCAAAAGAAGCACCCAGACATGCTCCAAGCACCAGGGTGTGTAGCCCCTGGCATAACCTTGCACAAATCCAACCCCCCTGTTGCTTTTCCTGCTCCCTCAGGAAAATCTCATCTCTTGGATCCCTGAAAACATCCGGAAGAAGGAATGCACCTACTTTGTTGAAAGCTCCCAGATGTCAGATTCTGGGTAAGTGAGACAATCCCTTATTCCCCTCCTCTGCCAGGAAAGCAGGAGGGATATACAGTGACAAAGCTACAGCACCAGAAGATTCCACCTTTCTCTCATGGGGGCTGGTGTTGAGGGATGAACAAATCCCTTTTTGACTGGTTCCTCACCCTGCTGCATGTCACTGCTTGGCTGATACGCCGTGGCCCAGCGAGGAACCTTCCTGATGCTTTTGCATGCAGTCATTTCCAGCCATACTTCATCCAGAGCAGCCTTAATATTTCTATCCTAAACCTCTACAGGTAGAAATACCAACTTCTTTTTGCTAAATTTCCCCCAAAACATTGGGGGAACAATGCACGAGCATCTCCAACAAGCTGTGTTGGAGCTGCTCCTACCTGTGGTGTTCTTAATGAGAACACCAACACCTCCTGCTTGGGCTGAGGCTGGTGGGCCAGTTGGGCTTCACCTTCTGGGTTTAGATGGTTTCCAGCAAAGCTGATGGTTTGTGTTTCAGGAGGATCGTGTGTGAGTGTGGCTACCTCAGGGAACAGCACCTGGAAGATGCAGTCAAACCTCCCATCTTCCTGGGGAAAGAGCGGGACCCCAGCAGGCACATCCAGGAGATGCCAACAGATGCTTTTGGAGATATCCACTTCGCAGGCCTGGGACAGAAGATGGGGAAGGTGATCTGGTTGTCCCATTTGTGGTGCCTGCAGAGCCAGTGTTCAGGTCTTGCCATGGCAGAAGAAATGGGAATATTTCCCTTCTGAATGAGGGTACCTTAGGAAAGCATGGAAACGCCCCAGAGGCAACACTGACCCAAGCAGAGGAAGGGGAGGTGGGACAGTGTCCCATCTCTCTCACAGCTCTGTACCTAGCCCCTTTCTGGAACCACAAGACTGATCTTCATGCCGTGAGGCCCATGTTTCAAGGAGTGGCTGTTTCTTGTCCTTAGGTTTGCCTGAGGAGTGCTTGGTCCCAGGGAAGAAAGTGGGAACAGGGTCATGCACAAAGGCTTGGGGCAGCAGCAACAGGGCTTTGCTGGGAAATGTCTTGGGAAGCTGCTGGTTCTCTGCTGGCACAGGAGAACTTGTGGTGGAGACGCCCTGTGCTCTGACCCTGTCGTTTCACCCAAAATGTTCCTGCTTGCTTTTTTTTTGCAGTACGTGCGTGTCTCCTCGGACACCCCTCCACGAGTCATCTACCACCTCATGACCCAGCACTGGGGCCTGGATGCACCCAACCTGCTCATCTCAGTCACTGGGGGAGCCAAAAACTTCGTCATGAAGCCAAGGCTGAAGAACATCTTCCGGCAAGGGCTAGTCAAAGTGGCCCAAACCACTGGTAAGAGATCCCGAGGCTCTCCTCGTAGTCTCAGTGGGAGAGAGGCCCATCAGTTGGCCATGGTTCAGTGAGTTGGGCTGCTGTGGAGATGCTGAGCTAGCCCAGGAGGAGTGGAGGTCCCTGTCTGGGCTACCACCACCAGGGATGGGCTGTTCTTGCTCATTTGCTGCAGACAGGCTCAGAGGGAGCTGGACTGATAAATGCAAGTCTGTGCTGGAGAAGGCATCTCCTGTGCTGCCAGGTCTTGATGTGATGGGCAGGGAAGACCTTTTGGAGTATCTCTGAGGAATAAGTGTTCCTGCAGCCATAGGGGGGGTTGAGAGGAGATTGCTGTGAGCAGAGTCTCTCCCTTTCCAAACTCCTCTCTGACCTTCAGGAGCCTGGATCATCACAGGGGGGTCCCACGCTGGGGTGATGAAGCAGGTGGGAGAGGCAGTGAGAGACTTCATCCTGAGCTGCAGCCACAAGGAAAGCGAGATTGTCACCATTGGCATCGCCACCTGGGGGACCGTGTACAACAGGGAGAGCCTCATCTGCCCCATGGTGAGCCAGGCAAGGCTGGAGATGGGTGTGATGTGCCTATGGAAGTCCTGCCAGGGACCGTGGTGGGAGCAGATGCTTCCAGATGTCCCTGTGGCTGGCAGAGCTGGTAAAACCCAGCTGCAGCAGCAGGAGGATGGCTCCTGTTTGCTGAGAAGCCTCTCTGTCCTAACCAGTGTCTCCAGTAGGTGCTGTGCTCCTCCTGGAGGGACCCTTGTGGGTGTGAGGGCAGGTGAAACAGTCAGAGGAGCATGAGGCAGGGCTGACATGAGGGCAGGGAGCTGTTTGGCCAAATGCTGGCCTGTTCCTGTCCCACACGCTGGTTGCTCTGGTGCTCCTCTGCAGCCCTGCCAGGCTCTTCCCAGAGTCTCCCCTCCTACCCCTGGCAGGGTGGCTTTCCAGCTGAGTATGTACTGGATGAGGAGAACCAAGGCAGCCTGTCATGCCTGGACAGCAACCACTCCCACTTCATCCTGGTGGACAATGGGACCCATGGGAGGTACGGAGTGGAAATCGCCCTGAGAACCAGGCTGGAGAAGTTCATCTCGGAGCAGACCAAGGTGAAAGGAGGTAACAGCAACACGTAGCCAGGCCTGAGGCAGGGGATGGCACAAGGTGGCGTGGCATGGGCCATCCATTGGGAAGGGGTGCCCAATCCAGGCCTGTGGTGGAAGGGTAGGCTGTGGCTTCCCCAGAGGATCGAGGCAAGAGTTTTGAGAGGATTGTGATGGTAAATGTGGAACCTATTTCCCAAGTGACACAAGTCCAAGAGCCTTTTCCTGCCAGCTGCTTGGCTTAGGGGGTCACCCAAGCCTGTGATGCTGAGCTGAGCAGGGAGAGTCATTTCTGTCAAAGAGCTGGGTGTCCAAGGGAGCTTCCAGCTGATACCTCCTTACTCTACAAATAATCTTCTATTCTAACACACACACACACTCCAGCAGCATGACTGCCAGGAGATATCTCTCCTCGCTCCCAGAGGTGAGCACGTCAGGGGCAGTGCTCTCACCTCTCACTCCCCACTGCTCAGAAGGGACTGTCTGCAGCTGCAGTGGGAGGACCTGCCCCACAGGGAGGTCCCTCTGGGCTCTGCTTCCCCGCAGGCGTGGCCATCAAGATCCCCATCGTGTGCGTGGTGCTGGAAGGAGGCCCTGGGACACTGGATGTAAGAAACTGCCCCTGCCTGGAGCCGAGAGGAGGGGAGTGGTGGGAGGGTGGAGCTCCCTGCCCAGGCTGCTGCTCTCGGTGCAGCCAGATGGGCGTGCTGCAGAGCCCTGGGCTGGCTCTCAGGCTGCTGACCTCTGGGTGGGGTTAGGACCACCCTCCCTGCTCTGTTGCAGACCATCTACAACGCCATCAACCACGGGACCCCCTGTGTGATCGTGGAAGGCTCTGGGCGTGTGGCTGATGTCATTGCACAGGTGGCCAGCCTGCCTGTGCCCCAGATAACCGTTGCCTTGATCCAGAAGAAGCTGAGCATGTTCTTCCATGACACCTATGAGCTCTTCACTGAGGGCAAGCTGGTGGAGTGGACCAAGAAGGTGAGCCTCTTGCAAGCAGAGAGCTCCTTTCACTGAGCTTGTGGACATCAAACGGGTCCCCAGCAGCCTTTGCCCATGAGTAGTAGCAAGACTTGCAGCACTAAGTTTAAGGCTCATCTTCTGCAGCTCTGCTCCCCCACTGCCTGCTCCCTTTGGGAGATGGAGCTCAGGGGCCTGCAGGCAACCTGAGGGGAGCAAGAATTTGCCCCAGATAGGGCAGGGGGCTGCAGGAAGCAGCAGAGAGAAGGTGCTGCTGCTGATTGCTTGCCCACGGCTCTCCTTGTAGATCCAAGACATAGTGAGGAGCCGGCAGCTCCTGACTATTTTCAGAGAGGGCAAATATGGCCAGCAGGACGTGGATGTGGCCATCCTCCAAGCCTTGTTCAAAGGTGAGAGGTGGGGAGCTGCTTGGAGGAGAGGGGAGAGGTGAATGGTGTGTGGGGGGGGGTCACAAGTCACTTCCTGACAGCTGCTTGACTTAGTGTCATCCAGGGGAGTCCCCAGGTCTTCTGATGCTGAGCTCATCATGGAGAGATGTTCCTCCCAAACAGCCAGACCTCCAAAGGGGGCTTGCAGGTGGTATCTTCTCACTCTGTAAATTATTCTAACGTGGGCTTTGCACGCAGCATCCCGAAACCAGGACCACTTTGGTCACGAGAACTGGGATCACCAGCTGAAGTTAGCTGTGGCCTGGAACAGGGTGGACATTGCTCGGAGTGAGATCTTCACAGATGACTACGAGTGGAAGGTAAGGCACTACTTGTGCTGCTTGGCTGATGAGGCTTACAGCTTGTCAGGTCCCCCTTGAGGGCTGTGGATATCAAGGGTGCTTTTCACCTTGGCTGTGCTTAGGGAGAGTTTTTGAGGGCATTTCTCTTGGACTCTAAACTCCCTCTGGAAAGGCTGGTGGGAACCAGGGTCCCAAACAGGAAATATTTGATGGTATGAAGTACCAACAAATATGGTGGTGTGGGAAGTATGAACAAGCTCTAGACTTTTGTTGGGATGGGAGGACCAAGCAGGCTCTCAGATGTGGGCCAAAGTGCTGCTATGAAAAGCTGAGGCTGAAACCAGCCTGGTGCAGGTCAGCAGGTACCCTCCTGCTAGGACAGGCTTTACCCACAGGCTTTGTTTTCACTTCTGAGCACATGTAATGGTTGCCTTGGGAAGGAAAACCCCACAAAGGCTGAATGGGGTGACCACTGGGAGCAGCCAGTCTCTCCCCATGGCTGAGATCCAGCTGGCAGAACCATGATCCTTCATCTGAAGAGTTGTGCACAGAGGACAAGCCTGTGGGGTCCCGTTCTTTTGTGTGGTGCATCCTTGTGAACTGGGGAAAGAGGATCTACCCTTCCCCATCCCTCTACCCAGCAGCCAAGGAAGCAGAGGGCTTCAACTGCCAGGAAGGGCATGCTAACCCACAAGTGTATCTCTGGGGGTGTCCCAGAACCTCCCAGATGCTCCCAGAAACTCCTTGTGTGTTCAGGGATAAAATCTTCTCCCCATCCGAGTGAGGCGCATGGTGGGGCCCTGCCCTGGAGCCATGGAGCCCCTCACCTCTGCCTCTGGCCCCCCAGCCCACAGATCTCCACCCCGTGATGGCAGCTGCCCTGATCTCCAACAAGCCAGAATTTGTGAAGCTGTTCTTGGAGCAGGGAGTGCGTCTCAAGGAGTTTGTCACCTGGGACACCCTGGTTTATCTCTACGACAACATGGCACCGTCCTGCCTGTTCCACAACAAGCTGCAGAAGGTCCTTCTGGAAGAGATGGAGCACACGGGTGGCTCCAAAATGCCAAGGGTCCAACTGCACCACGTCTCTCAGGTGCTGCGGGAGCTGCTGGGCTGCTCCACACAGCCCCTCTACCCCAAGCCCAAGCACACGGAGCGGCCCCGGCTCTCCATCCCCGTGCCACACCTCAAGCTGAACGTAAGCATCTGCGGGTGACCTGCTGGCAGGGTTGTGCTGGGGAGGGGCATGCTGGCTCCAGAAGCTGGCCTGGAGGTTCCACCTGGCTCTCTGTCCTCTTGCCTGCTCATGAATCCCACTCAAAGTCCCTTAGAGCCCTGCCCAAGTCTGCTCCGTACTGAGGATGTGAGTCCCACCCTCCTGCCCCTGCTGCATGGTGGGCAGGAT